ACAATGAAGTAACAGGCATACAGGACGCATAACAAAAAGCTTTTTATAACTTCTATTGTTGTGTGTAAATAGTAAAATATTCTTTTTAACACACATATAGCAAATGCATGTGCATTAATTTTTTATGCACGTTAACATAAATTGAAGTTCTACTGTTGCGTTCCCTTCGGTGTTTAGTTGAAAGGGTTTATTTTGCGACGGATGGGCTGGGGGCACCAGATTGTTATATTATTATAACAATCAATCGATCAGGGGATTTTCCGCAACGGAGGTGGAAGCTGGACTGAATTATTTACGGTTGAAGGGTTTCTTCGGGTGTGCTAAAGGATTCCTGTGGCGACTTGTACACAAATTGACTTTTACTCAACAAGTAAAGAGGGAGGGGTGTTCAGGGGAGTAGATAGAATGAATCACCCTTGTAACAAGAATCCAATTCGTTATAATAAAGGCTTTATTTTAACAATAATAGATACAGATATGGCAGGACTTATTGATACAGCCTGTACAAAATCAAATCAAAGAAAAAAAAATAACGGCTTATTTTAAGTGGAGAAGCATCCACTGAAGTTTAATAGAAATAATAGTGTATTCACGAGTAATCTTATTCTTATTACAAGAACTTTGTTATTTTATTAGATTAAAGCATTGAAAAAACATGTCTTCTCAGCGACTTGAAGATGCTTCTATATACAATTTCGCTAATCCTATCACTATGCTAATTCTAAGGTTAACGATTTACATTGATGGTTTCTTTTGAAACGATCAAACATCAATTGTTCAATATCTTTCAATTGTCCCGATTATTATCGTCCCCCTTTTGATAATCAATATTATGGGAAGATATTCATGTGGAAATTAGGGATCAAAATTACGGAATTAGAGGATTTAATGTTACTTCGGTAACACTACGACAACGTTAAGGTTTTTAAAACGATAAAAATCTAACCAATTTCTTGAAACAGTGGCATTTTCAATTTTTATTATATGTCGCCAACTCATTGTTAAATCGAGGTCTGACTGTATCGGTATATTTTATTTAAGAATAAATGTATTTGTAGCAACTGTTATTGTAACATTTTAATTGGTTAATTAGGATTAGGTAAAGATTCTGGATATGTGATTGATTAATATCGAAGTTGTTACAATTATATTGATCCTTCATTTAAAACCTTGAAATAAACGAGATGATTTTGATTTATGTGCGCAAAGTCTTAAAAATGACATTATGCATCGGCACTAAAACTCTCCCTAAATGCAACTCGTCGGGAGACATATGAAATGTGCATTTAGGGAAAAATTGCATTTATGGAGAGCATGTCACTTAAATGTCTGTCTTATTATTAACTTGGAACCAAAAAAGGTTAGCATTTAGAGAAAAAACATAGTAATTGCATTTAGGGAGGTTGCATTTAGAGAAAGTTCACTGTATATTCTATTTTCAATTCATACGAGAAGTAGGAACCGAATACTCTGCATTTTCAGTACAACAATTCTTTAGAATAGATGAAAATTATTGAGTGTCTTAGATTAGCAAGGCAGAAAATAAAAGAATTTGATAAGACATGCAAAAATCCACACAAATACGTCACTGATACAGGTGCTTTTTTATTTCTAATATAAACATAACGACAATGACATTTTATATTACGTAATTATAAATAGATTTTGTTAATTTGTGCGTTCCAAACGAAGTAAAGTTCGATATTATTAATATTAAATTATTTGTTTGCATACAACTACATGTACAACTCTAGCATATGTGTCTGGGTGCAATAGAGCCCATATGATTATTAGCGTTAGCGTTAGTCTCTTCCAATATCGAGATGAACAAAAATGATCGTTATACAAAATGCATCAATAAACTTTGGGTAAACACACACATGTACATTGTCCTGTATTTCGATTTGTATAAAATTAAAAACGTGTAGGACAAATGTATAAATTGAAAATAAATCAAAGCAGCAAATCGGTCATTTTTTTCATATGGCTTGTTTTATTTTATAAGGTTAGCATGAGAATAATAGAAATTATACCGAAAGAAAAATAAAACGGAATTTTTTTCGTTGATAATAACAGAGTCTCAACATTTAAAATATTATGATTTTTCAACAACACTAAATTTTAAGGATCATAAAAGCGAACAATTGAAGACTGTCGGAAGAATCAAATAAACGGGACAGATTTCATTTTTATTGTAATGATGATATTTTATTTTTCATAAACATCTTTTGTTTCATAGAACACTTGCTTAAACAAAAGATATTAAAAATCGGCACTACCATTCATGCACAGATATATTATTATTTCGATTTATTGTTAATTTTAATATTCAATTCATCGACATTAATATTTGTGCAATTTCGCTTAGCAAAATTTAACCCGATCTCATCCGATAACGTTAAATGTATTATCGTTATACATGTACAGTAGGTCACACATTTAACGGAACACCTTCTAGAATTTTTATTTCCATGACCATTAGTTCAAACAAAATAAAAATATGTTCATTTGAAACCTTGAAACTCTAAAATTTCACAAAATATTAGAGGTTTCAATATTTCACAAAATAATCTGTTGTCAAATTATTTTTAAAAAATATTAGAGGTTTCAAGGTTTCGAATAAACACTTTCTATTTTGTTCGAACTAATCGTCATTGAAATAAAAATTCTAGAAAGTGGTCCGTTAAATGTGTGACCGACTGTACATGTATAACGATAATGCATTATCGTTATCAGTCATCATTAGATTTAGAATCAAATAGATTTGGAAAAACCGATCCCAAACTCTAATTTATGAATCATATTCCCAGAACAGAAAATCGCTGCCGTGCAAAATTTTCGAGGAATATCACATGGAATATTAGATACTTGCTATCAAATGAGTGATATGAAAAGTGTTAACGCAAAATTCGCAGAACGGAAAATCGCTGCCGTGCAAAATTTTAGATGAATATCACACGGAATATTAGACACTTGCTACCAAAAGAGTGATATGAAAAGTGTTAGTGCTAAATTCGCCGAGCTTAAAGATACACCAGATTATCACTGGAGCAGCAAGATTCCAAAGTTCGTCTAATTGCAATACATGTAGTAATAGATTTCCTTGTAAGCGATTAAATGTAAAATGTGACTCAAGAAGTTATTCTTTACAATAGAAATGTATTAATCGATAATAGTTTTTCCTTTTCGTTATAGAATTTGTTTATCATTATTATGTTAATCGTTATAATCATTATCGTTATTGTTATCGGCTCTTGTCTAATAAAATGCATATTAGTATTTCAAAGTACATTACATGTCTATTTCACGATTAATATTTTTTTCTTCTCAAATTATCCACCACTTCTGCCGACAATGTAGTCATAGTGATCACCTTTACAATTACGGGCTGAATCAGATAGTGTGAATAGATCACCTTTACAATTACGGGCTGAATCAGATAGCGTGAATAAAGGGGAAAGGTCCCAAGCAGTTGAGCTGTTTTTTAGAATAAGTCACAACATTTCCAAACCTATTATAGACATAGACAAGCTTTATACATGTACATGTATAATGACATAACAAGGACACTAAAAAGCGCTTGTTATGTCATCATATCCAGATGTCTAAAATAGGACCTATATCATGATTCTGCTCACCAAATGATTGTTCGCCTATCTTTTATAACTATAACGTTTGGCTTTCCGTAAATTTCTTAATTAATTCTTTTCTATCTGCAATTGCATAATACAGAAGTGCAGATCATCAAAATTTAGTAAAATCATAAAGCACGGATTTCTTTTTGTGGATTGTTTTTGATTCTCAAAGATATGATATTCAAAGAAATAGTTAGTTAATTACGTAATCTACTGTATAACGAATAATTTCGACTACATGTATCAAAGAAAGGTCTTAATTTAGCGAATTAATCTCCTGCATAATTCATTATTCATTTGTAGTTAGCGTGAATTTTTTTTAGTATTTCATTCATTATCGTTATGTACCGGTAAATTTCTATTTTTGATAATAATTTCTCCATGCTCTACGTATATCGTTTTCTTCACGATTCCACTTAACTTTATTTTGACATTCGGTACACTCACTACGGACAATCATGAGTAGTGTAAATTGAGCATTCTCATATTCACAAAGACAAAGCATGAGTATTGTTAGAATACATCTTTGAGTTAACTTTGAAGTGATGATAAAATATTATTCCTTTATAGAACTTCCGTAACCGATTTATTGATACAGCGCATTGCGTCTATAACATTCAAATATCGATATGCGTTTGTTGAACATGACATGTTATTTATGTGTAACATAATTTTAATGCTCTTCTCTAACACACTTGTTGCATTTAATCGGCGTACATTATAGAAAGCTACTTATTATTGTTATAAACATACATACATTTGTGTCAATATTATCGTTAGTGTTGCCAATGTGATCATACTGAATTAATAGACTTTTGTCTATGGCGCAATTACCAATATTGGTTATTACAATAATCCGCCAATGGACCAATGGGACCCTAGCCCGTTTCACTGTGACGCAGCTTGCAATCCTTCTTAATTTTAATAATCATTATATACGATGAACTATTCTCATGGAACTTTCAATCTCACTAGATCGTATTACATGTACTATGAAAAATGAGATAAAGAATAAAAACTCAGACTTTTATTTGTGTGTGCAAATTAGAAAGTGTACGACAACTAAAAATAGCCATGTACAACATTTTGTCTAACCTCTAATAAGTATTTAATAGCAGCTTTTCTTGTCATTCTCTATTTTTCGAAAAAAAGAGTTGAAGAAAAGCATCTGTTTAACAGCAACAAGTATTTCAACAGCAGCTTTTATTACCATTCTTTCAATTTTCGAATCAACAAGAAACAACTTTTCTTATCATTCTTTCACTTTTCGAATTAAAAGAAGCAACTCGAATTAAAAAAAAAAAAAACATAAAAATGACTAACTTCAAACAGCTTTCTTTGATTCTGGCAATCTGTCTCTTCGCTTTATCTGATGCAGTTCCCGTTCCATCTGGCGTCACCCAAGGTGGTGACGGTGGTGTCCAAATCAGCGATAAAGGCGTCACCGTTGGCAGCGGTCCAGGAGTCGACATCGGCAACGGCGAAGGGGTCAAAAACACAGGTGTCAACATCGGCGATGGCCACAAAGGCAAAGGCAACGACAACCCCACCATTGTTAACACCGGCGTCAATATCGGTACCGGCACTAGTGGCAATGGCAAGAACGGTGGTACTGGCATCGTTAACAACGGCATCAACATAGGCAGCGGCACCGGCGGCGATTCCATACAGGGTGGCCACGGCGGCCTGGGCATTTTTAACAACGGACTCAACATCGGCACAGGACAAGGTGGAAAAGGCATTGGTCCCGGCGGCTTTGGCGGCACCGGCATCATTAACAGCAACCCAAGCGCCTTCACCATCGGCGGCCAAGGCATCGGTGGCGACGGCATCGGCTTCTAGTAGACGAGGAAATTGAACAAATCAACTTAAAGAAACAATGCAAATAAATTTATATCGATATTATATATGTCGAAATAAAATTATCTTTTAATTATTGAACAGTTGAATGCTTAATATTGATTTAAATGTAATTACTTATAATTATCTCAATAGTATTTCAAACTTTGATTTAAGTTTAATTTGAAATTAACTTGTACATGTATTTGCTAATTTGTATTTTTTAATTTAAAGTTTAAAATTCAACTTTTATAGACTAATTTGTAACTTTACAATATTTTGTTAAATAATTTTATTTTAAATAAAAATTATTTTATACTATTTTGTGGGTTCACAATTTTAATTAAAATCATTTTTGAATTAAAACTGAATATAATAAGCCTTCATAATTATTATTGCTCTTGCTTACTTTTCAATTTTTTTATATCAATTGCTCTATAGATATTTCTATAAATCGTCTAGAATTTTTTTGATTATAAAAATTGACAAACTTAATAGATAGAAAAAGATATTTTTAACAACTAAATGTCATTTTATCAATTTTTAAACAAGGACATCAGATATCTATTGAATATAAAATTGTATAAATTAAAAATAATTTTCGACTTTATAAATATTTTTCATATTAATGCATATATTCTAATTCTGAATAGCGAACATAAAACATGATTATAAGTTGTAGCTCTGATTTCTGGCTATACATTGGTATGTAATAATATATATCAAAAATTGAACTTGAACCGAACTTTGGAATTTTATAAGTAATTATTCATATTTTTTTAAATAATCAGTACGTATCGGTATTTATTAATCAAGATGATAAAACGAACATTTTTGTTGGAATATCTTATGATTTCCCAGTTGAATCAATATTTTATCAATATACATGTACTTGATTATAAATTCTACTGAACAATTATAATAACATAGCTCACAATTTAGCGTTAGATAAATGTCTTATTAATTAAGTTAGAACTTGCAAAATAAAAAAACAGTATGAAACAGTATCTAGTATTTACAGTAGCGACCATAAGTATCCGCCCACAGATAAGTAAATTTAACTTTTAATTTTTTTCATTAAAAATACATAACTAACTATAATGTTTAATAATACATTGTACGTATAGTTACCATGACGATGTTTCATACTATCCACCAATTTTACGGCGAATTCAGGTTCCACTCTTTCGCAATTTCCCCCTCTAATCCATGAATTGGTTGAATTTTTTTGCTATTTTGATTTTCATTAACCGCCACACATTTTCTATAGGGTTTTGGTCCGGAGACATCAATGGCCAGAAAAATACCTTAATGTTTTTTTCATCTTTCAGTTTGTCGCAATTTTTGAGCGGCGCTTGGGATCGTTATCTTTCTGCAAAAACCAATCTAAGTTATTACCACCAAAAAACCCAGGCAGAAGTCAAAAGACCCCCGCTTATAGATTTTACACATAAATTTGGCGTTGGAAACACCCCAGTTTACCGAACCCGAAACAGAAAAACACCCCCAAACATGGACCCTTGGCAGATGCTTGACAGTACGATACTTTTTTTCGCTCGATGAGTTGCTACACTTTTTTTGCCTGGGATAATGGAACATACTTTCGTCTGTAAAAACGACCCGGTTCCAAGCATGTTTCAATGTTTTTTCGCCCATTCCAGCCGTTTTACCCGATGATTCTTTGTGAACAAATTTAAAAAGTATACTTACCCCCAGCTTTATGAAGACGCCGTTTTATAGTCATCACGTTATGTAATGACCTTTTTTTGTTACTTAGGTCTCGGTTTTTATGGGATCTAATAAATGTCTGTAGACTTACTACAGCGAACATGTTTAGCTATCTTGCCAAAACTCCACTTTGGTCCAGCAGAATTTTCGCGTAAAAAGACAATTCGTATCGTTTTCGAGAGAAAGTGACGTAATGTTTAATGATTAATTTAATCCCTTCTCGATTACATAGTTTCATTTATTTACGTATATAGTATAAATTATAGTTCTATTCTCGTACATGTAACGTTAACAAAAATAATAATCTATTATCGTTATATACGTACATATTTATACATACGTACATGTATGACAATACGTACGAACGTATTTGTATTCTGTATTAGAAACGCAACAAAAATACTATATATTAATATTTGATAACTAACAAATAACGTATACTGTATATAAAAATGACCCTAGTTGTGTAAACGGTGTTGTGGTAAAACGTACCGTACAAGCTCTTAAAGAAGTAACGTACGTATGGTGAAAAAATCAATGTGTACAATATACGCATTTGTATACTATAATATATAAATTCTCTCTAAATGCACGGTATGGCTTGGTTCCACGTTATAAGACACATATGCATTTTACTCTCTATAAATGCACTCTCTCTCTAAGTGCACACTACCTGTTTTTTACTATGGTTCCGAGGGGGTGCACTTAGAGAGGTTTCACTGTATACACATATACGCATCAAAATATATTACTATAAGGGTGCATAGACTCAATGTTTTGATGCTATTTGTAAAGTATGCATCCTGTGTAATTGAAGAAAACGTTGTGGGAAGTTTCGTGTGATTTTTACATACAATATTGATATTTATATTAATATTGTATGTCCGGAAAATTCTAAGGTAATAGAAATTATTGTTACATTATTGCTATTGAAACTTCCCACGATCAAAACATTGAGTCTATGCATTCTTTACACAACTAAGGCTTGTTATGGTTATATTTTGATGTGGCGTATAATTATTCTAATAGAGTACCCTAACCATGGCGAAAAAAAGTGTTCAGATCATGTAATACAGGTATTTGGATATATCCAGAAAAATTCTATAATAATAGAGATTATTGTCAAAGATTGATTTAAGGTTAGGGTAAGGAATCAAGATTATATATAAAATTGCCTTCTCAACATTTTTTATTAGTCTATTAAGCTAGATTTAGGCTAGTGATTGGACTTACACTCAAGTCGATTCGAGTCAAACTTGACTCGAGTCATAATTTTTCTGACTTAAGTGATCACTTTGAGTTTGACTCGAGTTATATAGTGGCTCACACATGTAACAGAACTCAAAAATTAACTTACTATTTTCATGACTATTAGTTTGAACAAAATAAAAAAATGTGCATTTGAAACCTTGAAATCAGTAATATTTTTTAAAAAATAATTTAGTAACAGATTATTTTGTGATTTAAATCAAAATTTATAATTAGTAGATTTTTCACTAGATCTAATTCAGTCATATTTATATTTTTATAACCTTTTAACCATTTATTATTACATTTTAGACTTAACTGGTTATTATACATTGAAAAACTTTTTTTCTATAACAGATTTAAATTTGGACCACTAATTAAAAATGTTTTACTTTATAAAATCTATTTATTTATCAATTTTCATAAAAATTGGCTTAATTTTTATAGATATTTAAAATTCTAAAACTGAATCTATACTAGAAGTATTAATATATAAATTAAGTTCATAATATAGATTTAGTTCTTTAAAATCTCAAAGTTTGATGAATTTTGTAATAATTTTTATGAAAATTGATAAATAGATAGATTTTATAAAGTAGAACATTTTTAATTAGTAGTTCAAATTTGAATTCATTATAGAAAAAAAGTTTTTCAATATGAGAAATCTACTAATTGTAAATTTTGATTTAAATTACTTTATTTTTAAAAAATATTAGTGGTTTCAAAATTTTAAATAAATACTTTTTTATTTTGTTTGAACTAATAGTCATAAAATTAAAAATTCTAATAAGTTAATTTGTATTTTATTATATATATAAGTCACTATAAATTGACTCAGATTATTTAATTTAAATCAACTTGTATTTTGACTTATATTCTAACTCAATTACTCTTTGATTCAGAAAAATTATGACTTAATTTGACTTGAGTTAAAACAAGTTGATTCGAGTTCAATTATTAATTTAGATATTTGTTTTTCATATTTTTTACTTTTTTATTTTCTTGTATAAAATTTATTTTGCTAGACTAATAAAAAATTTATACATTTTTATTGGTTTGTGTTATTAGCAAATCAAAAAATTCATAATTCTTATTGATTATCATATAATTTAAACATTTTTTTTATCATAATTAGAATATCCATTCTAATACTTAGTATTAGTATGTAATATTATTATTTTTAATAAATACAATTTTATAATTTTTATAATATTATAAATTATAATATATTATTATTTTGTTTAATAATATTTATATTAATTTGATACTTATTTATTAATATTATACAACCAAATTTAATATTTATTTGATATTATACAATAAACTTTAATATTTATTTGATATTATATAATTATATTTAATATAAAATTTATAAATATCACTTTTTTTTAAAATAATTATTAACAAATTATATTTTTGTATATTTAATATTTATTTTCATCTTTTTTTTTATTCTTTATTTTTTTTGTATTTTTTTCAAATTAATCTTTTTATTATTAATATATATTATATTTATTTTCAACAAGAATCTTTTTAATTCAAATTTTATTATTTTAAATTAATTATATATTATTTTTTATTTTATCTTTATATTTATTATTATCTCTATTTTTATTTTGTATTTTCTTATAATTTATCTCATATTATTTAATTTTTTTAAAAATCTTTTTTTTATTAATCTTATAATTTTTTTTATTTCTAATAATTAAAAATTTATATTCAATTTCTCTTGTATTATCTTGTATAATTTTTTTATCTTTGTTTTTCTTTAATATTGTTTATATTATCTATAAATAATAATATAATTTATTAATTATATAAATTGTTGAAAATATATAAAAAAAGTCACTTATCACTAAAACTCTCATACTTTAATTTAATAAAAATAACAAAGTTCTTATTTGTAATATTATACTTATTAATATACTATTATTTTTGCGATTATTTTCAAATTTTAACTCCAAGTAGTAAATATTTTTTTTACTTTAAATAACCTATTAATATTAGTATTTTTGTTTATTTTAATTTTATTATTTTAAACTATATTAATAAGTTCTAATTATTTTATTTTTAGTTATTTTGTTTTTATTTTTATTTAATTATTTTTTTGTTCTTATTATTATATTTAATAATAAGTTAGTTTATATATAAGTTATCACAAAAAATCTTTAAATCTTAGTAAATTCTATTAATTATAAAGTATTCAAATTTTGTTTTATTATTATATTACTTTGTTAATTTATTAATTTTAATAATTCTTGAAATAATAAGAATAATTATATATTAATATATATATATATATATATAATTTTTTATTAATAGTAAAATTAGTTAAAAATATGAATCTGAATTGGAAAATAAACAAAATATATATCTA